TGCCCTGCCCTGAATGCTTCTGACAGTTTTGGTGCCCCCATTTCTCTTTTTTTATTGTGGTTCCTCTGACCAGGGTTCAGATTTGAGCCCGCCGTGTTCACTTGTCTTCTCGAGTGCTGGCGAATTAATTAACATGACAATGACGAAGGTGAATTGCGTGTTTGGAAAATGCTCCAATCAGCCCCCGCCAGCATATCGAATGGGCCGTCCTTTTCTCTCCACTGATCCCTTTCGCTAACAAGTCTTTCGCATTTTTCGAGGCATTCACAAGTTTTTAATTAGACCCATTGACAAATTACCGTTCGAAACAAGCCACAATGGCCTGTAATTAAATGTTTATTGTTTGTGACTTTCGGGCTTGACTAGCGGTTCCTGCCCCAAGACATGTTCCACGGCAGCTGACACTCTCGGCGTGCCTGATTGAAGCCACTCGATGGGGAGGCAGCTCTAATTGTTGGCTGTCGTCCTGATAGAAAGATGCGGTGGGAAAAGCAAAGCCAAGTGCCCCACTCGAGGACTTAATAGGTGCTGGGATGGGGATGGGTGCGTCTGAATGATGATATGATATCATGTCGATGACTTCCACGAAACTTGAAGTTGGGTGCAAATGAAAATCATGCGGTGAATGGGAGGTACTCACCAAAAGGTTGGTAGTGTGTAGTATTATTATGCAAAGCTGGATTAATTGTCTATAATTTCCGATAATTAGCCTCTAATTGACTCGAATTCATTGCACTTCTTGGCTGCCATGGAAACCATCAGCCGAACCAATTGTTTAGCTACTTCGGTTTGGTGTAAAAACGTTGAAGAGCCTCACTCCATCAGTACAATCAAAAAGCGATAATTTTACAATTCACATATTTACTATTATTCACACAGAATTAATTTTGTTTCCCAATTGTGATCCTTTTCTTGTATATATAAGTATAATTATTATTCATGTGCTTCTTTAGCTGTCAATATCCTTTGTATCCTAGATCTGAAATTATTATTCACTGTTTTTTTAAATATTAGCAAAGCTAAAAGTTCATTAAATCCTTTTTAAGCTCAAGCTTATTTTATTTTTATGTTACTTTAAGTTTCGATTTGCGTGTACATATGATATTTTTTAATATGAAGAACTAAGTCCCAACTTAAACATAATAATTTCTGAGATGTTTTCAGAAAATTTAAGCGTTACGCTTTCCGCACCAAAGAGTACAATTTTGCTATACATATTATTTATAGAATATATAAATCAATATCATATTAAATTTTCATTTTATGGTTCGTGCCGCTCCCCATAGCCTCGGGTGTGCTTTAAAGTTGCACCATGGAAACGTGTATACAAGTCATGCTCCTCCCCATCCGATTCGACTCCCACTTTCAACTTTTCACTGCCCCAGCCACATCCCCACTCCCAGTCCCTCCCACTCGTGCTTTCATATTTGTCTAGCATTAGAGGGTGAGGACTTTCAACTGCTGCTTCTGCTGCTGCTGCTGCTGATTCTCCTGGTTCAAGTGTGGCCACTTAAACCCTTTTGACAATGTCAGCCATCAGGCTCAGATGAAGGCGATGGCGATGACGACGACCAAGATGATGATGATGACGATTATGACGCTGACAAAGTGGATGATGATGATGTGGCTCAATTCAAAACAGCCGTCGCACAAGCAGCAGCAGCAGAAAAAAAAACAACTCCTATGCATGTATGTATATGAATGGGCTTAAGTGTCTTTATGTACAGCCAGAACATTAAAATAAAAAAAATATACTGGCCCAAATATATCATCAAACAGAAAAAGTGGCAGGGAAATGATTTGCGGATGGTTTCCACTCACTTTGGCTTGGGGTTGGTGCCACCAAACGTGTAGAGAATTTCAAGCATTTAGCTAATTTGCTTTCCAGGAAATATGAGCAGCTAAAAACTCATCAACTCATGCATTTTTAAGACAAAAACAATGCCCTCGAAGAGGACAGGAATTGAAAATGAATCATTTCAAGTGAATTAATCCCTCACCATCACTCAGATTCAAGTGGGAAATGCTTAGAGGGTGGCAAGGGCCAGCATCAGGAAGCAGGAAGCAAAAAAGCAAAGAGCCAAAAAGCAGGCAGCAGTTGAGTATTTTGCAATAATAATTTATAAATGAATGAATAAAGGGCGCACAGCAGCCAAAGTCAAATAAAAATAAATAAATAAAAATGGCAATGCGGCATAAAATGTTCCGTGGAGCTGGTCCCATCCCTATACCCCATCCCGAGTGGGGCAACGGGCGGAAATGTAACTGCGACGCGTTTATTTTATTGCGTATACGCAGCGCAGCAAAGTAGGCAACAATTTGTATATGAGTGCGTGTGCGTGTGTGTGAGTGTGCGAGTGTGTTGGTTGCTTTGTATTTGCTCATGTGTGCGTGCGTACATATGCCCCGCTTGTATGCTTGTATGTGATGTGTGTTATATGGCCGCCGCAGCAGCGGCTTAACTTATTTTCCACAAAATTAAACCATCAAAAATTTGCCAACAACAATGTGGGGAATAATTTATTTGACTCATGTTGGTTCTCTGCCCGCACCATCTCCATCTCCATCCCAGCCTTCAGCCCTCGGCTCAGCCGGCATAGAAAGCCGCACCGAAAAAAGAACACACACAAACACATACATATAGAGTAAACACACTTACACTGAGGAACTTGCATATTTGTACGAGTATGAACGAGCGGCAGCAACAAGAAGAGCACCAACAAAGACTTTGGCGTTGGTTGCGGCTATGGTTATGTTGGTGACGCTGCCGCAGCCGCAGCCGCAAAGGACAGCAGCCAGACACACACTATAGTGTGCCTCGGACCCACTCATTCACTTGACGCCCCACGCATACATCGACAGAAGGAAACAACAGCCACAACAGAGCTTCCGTCGTGTTCTTTTTTGGTCCAGGGGCTGCACACTTTTTTTGTGGCCAAATTTAATTCACAGAACAGCCGGCTAAACTGCCCCGCCTCCTGTGCAGACTCTGCCTAGCCTCTTGCCGCCCTCCCATGCCGTGATGATGAATTGATGATGAATGCCGCCAGGGACTTAGGCAAAATAATGCACAAAACTCATCGCTCCGCTCCCGTTCTCAGGCTGGCATTTTGTTTTATATTGCCCGGTACTTAAAGAGTGCAGGCCTAGGAGTTTCCCTTTTTAATTCAAAAATATAACAAAAAATTGTAGCATCGAATTCATTATGCATTCCTACAAAGGCTGATATTACCGGATAATTGTTTAAAACGGGAGGTCAAATATTTGTTAAATATTAAATACATAAAAATATATCCATACGGATATAATATCCGCCACATCAACCACTGAATCCCAGTGGGTACCTCACTGTCGAGGCAGCCGTGGAGTATTTTTTCAGCCTGCTCCACGAACTTGGCTTTGAAAAAGAGTTAAGCGTTTATTTATTTACATACATTTTCGTGCTTGTGTTCATTTTGCCCTTTTTCTGCGTTTCCTCCGCTGCTCGTGCTGGCCCGCGGGCTCAGTTTATTAAGTCTCGAGTGGCAAGTCCTACTCCTACTCCCACTCCTAGTGCGAGTGCCAGTCCGAGTCCTAGTCACACTCCTTCCACTGCTAGTCCATGTCCAAGTCCAACTTGGTGTTGTTGCTGCTGTTGCCTTTGGCTTAAACACAGCCAATTTCATGCAAAGTTGGATGCGCCCCACGTCGCTGTCCTCCACGTCCGTGATGGATGACTTTTGACGCCAGGCAACGTTTGGCGGCCAATTTGATTTGCGCCCCACAGGCCAGACCAGCTGAGGCTAAGGCTGAGGCACAGGCACAAGCACAGGCACAAGCACAGGCTGAGGGCTTGCCAAGGCCTGCAGCATACAACTGTCGATTTGTCAGACAGTTGGCGTCACAGTAGAATTTTTTGTGTGGTAGCTGGGGAGGGGCGGGGCGCCCAAAGTAGCCGGCAGTGTATTACAGATTGAGTTTTGAATTGTTAGCATTTTTGTGTGCCGGAGCAGCAGCGATGGATAACAAAGTGGGGCGGCGATGCCACAAGATGAATGTGTTGGGAAACTGGTAGACAATAGACCGATAATACAGCATTTAAGCTTGAAAACCGTTTAAAGTCAGTTTTGCAATGCATAAAAGAGACTTCTTATTAAATCTATTTGGATATATGTATCACTTATGATTCAATGGTACTGCTGGGAACTAGCAGATAGGCCTACGGTGAACCATGGACTTGGACATATGAGAAGTTCACATCAGCAATCGTACCCTTTGGGACAGATAGCTTTTGAAAGATTGTTTAATCCATTAACCTGGTTAGCATCATCTTTAATCCCAAGTGTTGGCATATTTTGGTTGCCATTTAGCACCTCTTATGGCAAAGGAAATCAGTGCCCGAAGCTGACTTCTGCAGTCCCTTGCTCTGCTTTAGCTCCGTTCAACTGTTCCGCTTCCATGGGGTTTGCTGTGTGGCAGCTCGCTTAGCACAAAGACAATCCGCATGACGTATACGCCACATGGGTCGCCCGTGACACGGCAGCAGCCAGTCAGCTGCGTGCTCTTGGGACTGGGACTGGGAGGCCCAAACCATCCTGCAAACCTGCTGCCTGGCCTGTCCCGACTTTAAGCCAATGCTAAGGCGGGGGCCTGTGCCAATGTCTGAAAGTCGACGAGACAGGCATAAATTCCGAGAACATAACATTATCGGGGGCAGTAGCAGCAGCAGCAGCAACAGCAGCCATAACAACAGCAACAGCTCCGAGCAGAGAACGATAAATCTTTAACGTGGATTTTGCATGTAAGCTAGCAAAAGTCTCCGCCACGGGATGATGCATGAGCCGAGCCGGGAATTTAATATGCGCGCTCCCCAGTGCCATAAGCAACTCCTTGTTTAAATACTGCACAACTGGCAGCAGTGAAAGTGCAGCGTTAATTTGGCCAATAAAATGCAGCCTGGAACACCCGTCGCCACAGCCATGAGGAACTAGCGTCGCGGCCATAAATATCAGCAGCAGCACCAGCAGCAGAAGCAGCAGCATCCGCGACGGGGAAAACAGCCTTTCGTGACAAGACAAAGAAAAGAAGGAAAGTCATCGGGACCGCAGCAGGGAGCGTGCCGCATTTAGAGGCAGTCAAACTGCCAGCCGTCGGGCACATCGCTTCCTGCCTTCTGCTCCTGCTTTCCGCCGACACTGACGGTGCTCCAGCTCTGAACCGAGCATTTCCGTTTCTTATCGCGGCAATGTAAACGCGTTTCCGTTTAATGCTTGGCATCAGCATCAGGCTCACCCTTAGTTCCAGTCTGGGAGCGACATTAAACTATAGGCTCTGCTCTGGATTACAAGTAAATTGGAGAGGATTTGAAGATGAGCACGCAGTCAGCGATGGTGCTGATGCTGCGCCTGTTCGGCGCCCTGCTTCTGGCCACGTTTAACGGTAAGTAGGCTGAAACGTAGCTTGATATTTATGAACACGATTAACAGTAGGTCGGTCCTCCACCCCACCCCATCAAACACCCTCTGCCACACCCATAAATGTCATAAACGCCCGACTATCGACCGGGCTGCGATTTATTTGCACAACTATTTACGAGCCCTCGCATCGAGATCGGATTGGTGGCAGTAACGGCAGCAGTGGCAGCAGTGGCACAGCCAACAATTCAATAAATGCTGCAATTTGCACCGACAACAACCATAAATTTATCTTAAATGAACAAACATTTTTCTTGCAGCTTTGCCGCCTGCCTGGCAAATAATATTCGATATGCAAAAGGCTTATCGTTGCCACAAAAGGCAGCAGCATCAGCAGCAGCAACAGCAACAAAAACTATAATAAGTAATAACCAAAGCCACGCACACACTGTGACACCATTGGCAATGCACATTTCAATTTGTTGCACACACACACACACACACTTGCAACACATAAAGGCCAAGTGCATAAAGCTGCCATAAAAATGGTAGCAAACAGAAAAACATTATAGCCATCTCAGCATGTAAATTACGGCATTTGTTGAAGCATATTTGTCAAAATAATGCACATTTGTTTGCATTGAGGACTTGCATATTTCATAGAAACAAAGAAAAGGGAATAGCTCAGAGCGAAGGGTGATGTGAGGGATGATTGATGAAGAAATTGTAAAGTTTCAATCAAAAGGTTTTCATGAAAAATTGGAATTATATTGCTGGATAATCTAAAAAGCCCAGAAAACAAAAATATACTCCCCATTGTTGTTTTGTGATAAATGTTATCTAACTTCATACATGTAATACATTTGTTTAGAAAACATTTATAATAAGCTTAACAACTAGAAAGGGTGCACAAAGACAACTTTAAGCAATGCAAGTTTAAATTTAGTCAATCGGCTTTATGATTCCATGCCGAGTGTCAGTTAGCAGCGGCTTTCTTTCCATGCTAAAAATTAGATGGAAAAAAAGCAAACTTTTAACAGTTGGCATAAAGGTATAAGCATCTTCGTCCTCTAGTTTATTTTATAGTTTATTTCTTTGTTTAAAATTCAAATCCTTTTCTTCATCAACCCCGCATTACATGACGCAATAAAACAAAGATGAATGTTTTCAAAGTGCTCGATAAGCAGAGATTTTCGGGTACTTACACATGTACATTGTACATTTGTATGCAGGGTAAAGTAGAAATCCATAAGAGATACACCAACCCCAGCACGAAACCCAGCGGGAAATGTGAAAATATTTGCATGTGGAATACAATATTTTGATTTCGCTTTGGTCGCGCGCACTGCACGAGCCCCATAAAAATATGTCAAATGCAAATTATGCATATAAATAAGAATAAATATATGAATCAACAAATAAATATGTCACATAAAAAGATATATCCCACTGCCATCCACTCCACATCCACACCCGCAGCCGCAGCACCGCCAGCATCTTTGTGTAAAAGTCAATTTGCTGTCGCCGCCCAAAAGTCGCGAGTGTCATAAACATGGCGGAATGTGCGTGAAGCCACAGCGCCCACCCAGCGGCATGAGGCATGCAAATAAATAAAAATCGAGCGTGAGAGCGGAAAATGCAAAATAATTGCATATTTATGTGAGCCAGACCACTGATGCCGGAGAATCAGAGGAGCCCGTGGAGCAGAGCAGCAAAGGAGCTGCTGCTGCTGCTGCTACGACGGTGGGACGAGTGCAGCCATAAATCCCAGCCGAGTTGCTTCTTTTAATATGGCCCGAAATACGCAAAAATGTCTGACTGACTGCTCGTAACATTCGCCGGGCAGAAGTCATCGCCGGCCTGACGAGCAAGAATTTATTTCAATTAAATATCTGCGCATTCAGGCAATTCCACAAAGAGACAACGCCGAGCAAGAAGGCAGCAGAGGAGCTACAGGAGACTCAGCACTTCCATAGAATTTATTTTCCATCTCTGCAGCATTTGGACTGTTGTTAAGTCAGTGGAAGTACAAGGTCGATCGAATAGATAAAATTTTAATATTTATCAGTCACTTAACCACGAGGTTCCTCATTGTTCCAATTTAATGTAAATTCTGACAGGTATTCTGAATTTACCCTAGAATGGCAGCGATAATTCAGGCTCAGTCTGTGGGTCGCCTTTCGACCCATTTCAATTATTATTCAAATTTCCAACTTAATGATTTATATGAAATGACCGACAATTGATTGCGGAACAAACAGCTTCCATACCTCGATTTTCTTTTTGTGACTTCTTCCTTTGATACAGAGCGCAACACCCACAGCACCACCCACAGCACACAAAGCCAACGAAATTAACTAAAAATCAGTCAAGAGCATGAATGGGAGCGTTTTATCTGGGCGCCTGGTCTTTGTCCTTTATCTTTGTCCGCTGCGGCGGAAGAGGAAGCGCGTTTGATAATGATAATAATAATAATGCCAACACTTGTCCATTGTTTTAGTCGCCCGGCAAAAGCGGCCAAAGCAGCAGCAAATAACAACAACAACAACAAGATGACACTTTAATAGCGCCACTGCGGAACTAAACAAAAACCAAAATCAGCGAAAAGTGGAAGGAGATTGAAGAAAGGAGGGTTCGTCGACTGCCGCCAGCTGTCATAATGAAACTGTCAAGGACAATGGGGGCGAACGGAAATACAAAGTATACGTGTGGGGGGGGGGCACACAGCCACCCACACCACCATTACCAGCCATCCGCCGCATTCCGGTGTCGGGGGGTGGGGGGTCGGGTCCCAGTTTTGCGATAAAAGCGACAAACGAAATGCTGTCTGACGGGCAGAGGCCATTTATAAGAGCATCAGTTACAATAACACTGCTGCTGGACCAGGACCAGGACCAGCAGCAACAGCAGCAGCAGCAGTGGCAGTGGCTGTAGGGGTAGGGGTAGAGGAAGGGCGTGGCAGGAACGGTCCGTCCTCGGCTTTAACAAAAGCCGGGGCCATTGTCATAAATTAAAAATGAGGAAGTGTATGAAAATAAACAAAAAGCAAACAGCCGCATGGAACCAAAGCTCCAGCCGCAGCGGAAATACAAAAAGCGTTGATAAATAAATTTCTAACAAAGCGCACAAACACACACAGAGCAGAGACCAGAGAGCAGGGAGCAGCGGGCAGCGGGGCGAGAGTCAAATTCCTGAGCAGACGAGGCAGAGGCAGAAGCTGAACCCAGTCCAAGATAAGCAAGCGGCAAGTCAACGCCTTCGCCTTATGCCTAGGTCAAGATCTGAGACTACTCAAACACTTTAAGCACTTTCCTTGGCACTTAAAGCTGCCCCAATGCTGCTGCTGGCTGCCAGTCTCGTGCCCGATGCAGCACCATGCGAAATTCAACGCGTGCCACAAATTCGGAGAACGCGCGTATTCCGTAAATGTGCTTTATGTGTCGCCGCAGCCACAGCGACGCACTCACATGTCCCGGACTCATCCATCCTGCCACACTTTGTGTCTGGCAAGGGCCCACATGCCAGTGCGGCAGCAACAGCAGCTAGAGCCAGCCAGACTCTCCAGCGAGTTCCTGCCAAGCACCACTGGCCAGCACCAATGTCCAAAGCCGCTGCGGCTCTGATGGAATTTATGAAAATACACTGTCTGGAAGAGCAGCCAAAACAAATAACTAACATACCCAAATGGAAGAGTCGACCAGCGATTGCTCTTCCCAAATTAATAAAATCTTAAATATAAAAGAAAAATATTGGGTCAGATTTATTTCTTCCACACAAATCAGAGAGTACAAATAGATATCTAAGTGCCCTCCAATGAGCAGCGAACTTGACATTTATTTAGAATATATAACTCAGAATTTCCCAACTACTTTTAAAATTTTATAATTTATGTTACAATTTATTCATTTATGCAATAATCTTACATCATGCCAAAACATTTAAAAAATATCTTAGAGGGGTAAAGCTAACCCAAGTAATAAGCTCATTCAGTTCAACCGAAAATGGGTCTGCGTACTTTGAAGCCAAATACCAACAGCCATAGAGTAGAGTCCCCACCAACCCCTCAATTTCGGTTTTAGGTCCCAGCTTCAACCGCATCCATTCGACGACAGTTTCCGTTCTGCTACGGTCTGACGGGGACGGGGTCCGTTGACCAGATCCCGGCATTTTATTTTATATTATGTACAAGATTTGGTTTTTATATATTTTTTGTGGCTTTTTCAGCTTGCCCGGCACGTGCAGTTTTATTCGTAGTTTAGCCGGGCGGCAGTGGCCGGCTGTAGATTTTCACTCTAGATGCCGTGACCGGCAGCGGCTTTATTTTTGGCTTTCGGCATCTGTTTAAATTAAAGATTATGCACAAGTGAAAAAGTGGCCGAGCGGGCTGAGGACTGGGCGCCGTTGGCATTTAAAATTTAAATATGTGAACAAAGGACGACCTTGGCACCACGTGGCGTCTGATGGATTTGGGACTGTGACGTCAATGCGAGTGGAATCAGGCGCTCTTCTGCTCAGCTCTGCCTTTGTTCGCCACCGTGTAAACAGGCAAATTGCTGCACATTGCCGGGCGACAACACAAAGAGCACAATAATTGTAATCATAATAAGCCATTTAGCACTTCAGCCCCGCTTTCCCCCTCGCCAGTGCCTTTGCATATTTATAATTCATATTCATATTGTTAATTCTTTGAGCACTCACCCACTTAGCCCCTCGCAAAGGGGGCTCTTCCGAGCTTCAGGCTCCGAGCACTGAGCTCTGAGCTCGGAGCTCCGAGCCGAGGGCAGCTGCCATAAAAGCATCATAAACATTTTACAGCAGTTGCAGCTGCAGCAGGAAACAGCGCCAGCAACGGAAACAGTCCCAGCAACAGCCACAGCACCAGCACTAGGAGCCAGCCAGCACCCCAGTCCCCCGCCACCCATCATAATTGCAGTGAGCCATTTCATATTTTGGCCTAGTCCCCGAGCGGATGGCTGAGGGAATTAGGACGGCTTTGGCCCTATTGTCAGAGTGTCTGTGCGTGTG